ACGGCGGCAGGGCCAAGGGCCCGCCGAAGCCCGCGGCGAAGCCCGGCGGCGGCACGGGCGGCACGGAGAAGGGCTGCGAGCCGGTGTCCGTCACCGCGGCTACCGAGCTCTCCCGGTCGCCGCCCGCCGAACTCGCCCGATCATAGTCGGGCTCGTCCAGGCCGAACTCCCGGAGCAGGTCCTCCGTGGAGCGTAGCTCGGCGCGGTTGTCCGCACCCGCATTTGACGCCCGCGACAGCATGCTCGCGGTCTCGTTGTCCATGCGGTGAACCGCATTCGGCACCTCGACCCGCGCGTCCATGCACGCCGCCAGGTTGTCGCGGCCGAAGATCGCGGCGAGCCGGCCCTGCTCGGACAGCTCCAGGAGGTCCATGACCGCCTGGACCGTCGAGAACTGGAGGTACGCGAAACGGTGGTCCGGCGGGACCGTCCGGGAGCCGTAGATGACGTCCTCGATCTCGTGCGACCACGACAGCTCGTCGCACTTGACCTGGTAGTGGAACCTGATCGTCTCGGACGACGAGGCGTGGCCGATGAGGCCCGGCGGAAAAGACACAAAGAGCTGCTTGAGGCGGCGCGCCTCGCGGCCGTCAGACTGCTTGAAACGTTCTTCGACGCGGGTCTGGACCTTGCCGACCTGCTCGGGGACGTGGTAGAAGAGCAACTTGACCGTGAGGTATGAGACGGGCCGCAGCTTGCCGCGGATCCGCGCCATGTCGGAAGAGTCGAAGTCGCCGACCACGACGTAGAGCGTCATGCGCTTGCCGCCGCGGAGGTTGACGGGCGTGCGCCGCACGCCGACGTGGCGTTCGTAGCACGTGCCGCGGAGCTGGTTCGAGATCTGCTTGTTGAGCTGGTGGCACACCTCGGCGCCGTGCCAAAAGGGGTCCGTCCCGACCACGTAGGTAATGATCTTCGGCCGCATCTTGGAATTCGCCGTCGCTGGAGAATACGTGGCGTCGTAGAATGCGAAGTCCTCGGCGGCGTACATGAGGCGCCCGCCCAGCGGGAAGATCTCGAAGGACTGCTTCTTGAAGACGAGGACCATGTCGACGAGGCCGGTCTTGACGGAACTCGGGCCGCGGCCCCGGCCGCCGAAGGCCTGGCGCGTGGCCTCGTACTTGTGTCTGCCCGGCGCGCGTAGGATAGCGGCCGGGAGCGCCCGCACGGAGACAGCGTAGGACGCGACGGCCAACGGCGCGTCGGCGACCGCGATTCCGGCCAGCTTGACGACCGTGTAATCCTCGTCGATGTCATGGGTCGACTTGCCGTGGACGAGGAGCGCGCCGTCGACGGGGACGCCGTCGGCGTCCTGCTTCGCCAGGCTCGTGTAGAAAAGTGTCAGGGGCGCGGTGCGGCCCGCATCCATGGACTGGAACTCCGCAGGAGTCATCACCCCGCGGGGGCGGATCGGAGGCCGCGGCGCCGCATCCGCGAAGCTGACTATGCTCGTGCTCATGGCCTTGGCCTCCACCACCACGGCCGAGGCGGCCTTGGTCGCCCAGGTGTCAGCGCCCGTGTCGCCCATGGGGAAGTCGAAGGCGCTGAAAACGATGAAAAGGTCGGTCAGGTCGGCCGGGCCCTGGGCCCGGCGTGCGTGCGGTCTGTCTGTCTACTGGCAGCCCATAACCTCCTCAGGCAATTAGGAGATTATTATTATTATTATTATTATGGGTGCTTTAACGTGGGACTAGGACGGCGGCCCGTGGGCGGCCGTCGGCGCACGCGTCTTTGAGGGGCGGCTTGACGTACTTACTCAAGCCGGGGGGTCGGCTAAATTCGCGGTGAGTAGTGGGTGATGCCGCCCATCTGGATCTGGCCCGGGTAAAGGGGGTTCGTGGTGTAGTAGCCGGGGCCGTTCTGCACGACGGTTCCCTGGAAGACCTGTCCGGGAGATTGCACGACGGTTCCTTGGAGCACTTGCCCCGGGACGACGCCGGCGACTTGGCCCTGCGCGCCGCCGGCGGCCCAGCCACCGGGCGTCGCCGACGGCTGGCTCGGCGCTTTGGGAGGAAAAGGCGACGGCTGGCGGGTCTTGTTCGCTCTTTTTTCGGCCCGGACCCTTTCGCGATTTTCGCGTGCTTGGCGATCGCTCCGCTGGCTTAAAAAGCAGCAGAAACCCAAGCAGCCAGGAATCAACAGCAGCCAAATATAATGCATGATATAGTGACCCGCTCGGCGGCTCAGCCAGGACGCCTTAGTTTCCTTTTTCACGCATTCGCAGTCCTCGTCGCAGCTCGTGCCGGTGCAAGACATGTCGCACGAACGGTCGCACGTTTCCCCTTGGTTTTTCATAGTAGAGCAATGGCTATCGCAATCAGCGTCGCAAGCTTTATTGCTGTCGCATCCGGCGTCGCAGACCTACGACGACGACGGTCCCGCCGCGAATCTCGCCGCGCGCGCGGGGACGCCGCCGCGCGCGAGCTCCTCGTTGCCGCCGCAGCCGGCCGTCGGCGCCCGCGTCGCCGTCGGCGGCGCCGTCGGCGCCCGCGTCGCGTTCCACCCGGTCCAGGTCGCGAGCGTGGGCATGGACGTCGGCGTCGGCGTCGGGAGCGGCGACGGCGCCGCGGAGTCGTCGAGGCGCCGGCGGCCCCGGGACCCGCAGCCCCCCGTCCGCGGGGCGGCGGCGTCGGCGCGGCCCGCGAGCCACGCGGCGCGCGGATGGAGGCCCGGCGCGTCGGCGGCGAAGAGCGGGACGCCGCGGGGCGAGAGCCCCGCGAGCGCGACGTCGAGCGACGCCGCGAGGCGTTTCCGGAGCGCGTCGATTTCCAGCGCGTCCGCGCCGGCGAAGACGGCCTCGGCCGACAGGCGCGCGACGAGGTCGCCGTAGGTGTCGCGCGCGCCGGGCGACGGCGCCGCGGCGCCCTCGTGGAACGTCGCGTCCCACGCCGGGAACGGCGCGCGCCACGCGAGGGGCTCGCGCCACTGCAGGTCGTCGACGAGCGCCGCCCGCGCGGCGTCGGACGCGCCCGTGGCCGGCGCCGCGTCCAGCGCCTCCAGGAAGACGTCGACCCAGCGGCCGCCGTCACGCTCCGCGGCGACGGCGACGTGCGCGGAGACCGCGCCCCCGGCGGGCGTCCGCGCGGCGTGCGCCACGCCCTTGGGCACGTACAGGGGATCTCGCCGGCGGCCACCGTCGCGGCCTCGCAGGACGCGAAGGCGCCGCCGACGGCCAGCTCCTCGCCCTCGAAGGACGTGCAGCCGCGCGTCCGGAGCCGCGCCTCGGCGAGCTCCGCGCGGTCCGCGGCGCTCGCGGCGGGGTCCGGCCCGTGGGGCACGCAGAGCCGCCAGGCCTTGGCCCCCGCGACCTGGACCGCGAACTGGTCTGACACGTCCGTGTGGGCGCCCAGCGCCGCGCCGCCGGGCCCCGAGACGTAGAGGTGGAACGTCGCGGCCAGGCCCAGGGACGCCGCGAGGCTCGTCGACAGTTCGACGACGGCCGCGGCGCCGCGCGGCGGCACCGCGGCGGCCCAGGCCCCGTCGACGAAGAGCTTCTCGAGCTTGACGACGACCGACGCGCCGGCGTCGAGCGCGGCCGCGACGTCGTCCGCGCTCCGCAGCCGCGACCGCAGGGCCTCGTCCTTGGCGCCCTCGGCGTCCCGCACGTCGACGGCCTCCGTCCTCTCGACGAGGGCCGCGAGGTGCTCCGGGGCCGCCAGCGTCGCGAGGTCGCGCCGCAGGTCCCCCGGGGCCCAGGGGCTGCTCCCGTCGAAGAGGGCGTCCCCCGGGGCCCAGGGGCTGCTCCCGTCGAAGAGGGCGCTCCGGCGCAGCCAGGCTGAGAAGAAGTCCGTCTCCCGCGCCACCGGGGCGTCGCGCGCCGCCGCCCCCACCGCGAGG